CATTGCCTAATCTTAAAGGTGCTGAGTATCATAGTCTGAAAACTAAGTGTTAGTTATGCATCAAATCTTCAAAGTTAGTCCCAAAAGGAAGAGATTGCTGCCTCAGCTCCCATCTAAGTGGAATGAATTCACTGAACTAAACAGATTTACTATAAACTTACACCTATGCAAAGATGGAGCACAGTCTTACATTAACACTATTATGACATTTATCATCACACAATTGTTATTGAAGTCCTGCATGGCCTGGAGGATACAGCTCATTCAAAACTAAATTCATAGTCAGGAATGCTAAGTGATGAAGGGGTAAATAACTCAGTTCAACGAGTGGGACATTTAAAATAGGATGGGAAAACTACTGTGAAGTTTTGTAACTTTCACTTCGCAGTGAAACAGCTGATGACTTACTGTAATAGAACAACAAAAAATCACCATTGCCTTAAAGGGAGCATAGCTTAGTTCTCTCAGCATGCAGCTCTTCCAGAAGAAGGATGGCAGTTCCAAGGCTTAGTTATGATCACCATTAGCTGCTACTGCCCATTTGATTAGTTGGCAATAAAAGCAAGGCCCTTTCTTATCAAAGCAAACAGCAATGTCACTCCTTTGCATTCCTCCTATTAGCTGCAAATGTTAGATGGACAGGGCAGGGATAAAACCAATGATAACTGAATCTGGGGATAAAAAAGCCCCAAACCATCGAAGTTAAAAATACACAAAATCATTTACAGCAGTAACGCAAAGAGTCAACTACCAAAGCAGAAAGAAACTAAATTGTTCATTGTCAACTGCCAATTCAAAGTGAAAACAGATTGGACCAAAGCTGTCAGAAAATTCTTTACCATTCTGTAATGATCACACAGCCATAATGCCAGACAGAGTCCAGCTGTTTCAGTGACTAACTTCAAACAATAGCTGGGCTGTTTAAAAGCACAACAACAGGGAATGATGTTTGTCTGAAGATATACTGTATTAATGTAAATTGCTTTCAAATGCACATTCTGTGTCTTAAAACAAAAAATAGATATTAAAACCTGTGTGAGTGGAAATTAGAGCCATATATAACATTGTCAGCTGTAATTCAGTCATCCATTAGTGACTGCATGTAGTGAGCTTACATCCAGTGGGACGAAGGAAAACATTATTAATTTTACTCTTTCTACTTAAGACTATGGAGTCTGTGTTCCCTTTATGAAACTTCCAATTACCATCAGATGATACTCCCTTTGTATTTCCTTCTTAGGAGATGCTATACCACCAACTCCTGCCCATGGCTGTTAGTCATGCTGCCATAGTGCCTTCCTATCAACTTAAGCACTGACCTTTAAGAAGTTGTAAATGTTATTTCAGTTTTAATTCTGAGTTTAATGTCTCTGGAAGTGATTAGCAACATTGGCTTAATGTGATTTGGTCCTTGACCATTTACTCACCACCTTCTGCTAATGTAATATAATCATTACATGCTGCAACACCCCAGGTTTCTATTTCTAGTTCAGTGAGATTAAACTAGTAATAAGCAGCAGCATACTGTATCATCAGTGGGCTTCATTGCTCCTGAAGGCAAAAGGATTAAATCAGAGATTAATTTTGGTCTGTGCATCATCTTTGTCATCTGTACAATGGAGACAACACAGCTATGGTTCGAGAGACAGTTAGGCTTCCTCACAACAGAAATTAAATTCCCGGCTGCTAACTTTGTGTTAGTTATCTCTGCAGTATTACTTGTGAGACTGTTGAATAACAAATTGATTTTAACTAACAAAAAAGTAATCATGTCAAAGATCTTCAGTAGATGCACTGACAGACAGCAGACATGTCTCCCTAATGCTGACTTGGTAATCAGTAAAAAGCTTTGAAAGACAGGAAAAAGATTAGTTGGGATACAAAGGAGAGGATGGCAGGAACTTAAAGATGACAGTTCAAGAAAATTTCTTGGAACATGCACAAGAATGGAAATCAGATGGAAATCCAGCTTCCTCATCTACTCTACCAGAATAATGCTTAGATGATGTGTAAAGATCATTGCATGGCAAAATCTGACATCACAGCATGCAGAGAACAAGCCTTTGTGGTGATGCTGTATATGGAGCATGCATAAGATGCTTTGTTTGCAGCATAAGCTTTGATGCTTTGTCTGCATGCATCTCTGCGTGCAGAGAACAGGTCTTTGTGGTGACGCTGACTGTGCACCATTTCTGCACTGTTGTGTCAAAGCTTAAATTGGAGAAAACAGAAAAGACAAGCTCACCCTTTTATGAAGGACCAGAACACTCCCCATGGCCTATGTGCACAATTCACCTCACCTTAAAGGACTTTTAAAATCTGTTGCTTGTTAAAAGCCCTAAAATCTCCGTAACTAGAGATTTCTTAGATAAACTGCTTACCTTACCATTAAATAATAATTTAACATGATATGTTAAAATGGTTTATCAACAACAGAAAATATACTAACATGCCCCCAGTGCACACTCAGTAGACCTCCCTTGCAGTGGTGGCACTCACCTGACCTTCCATTTGAGCCAATGCAGCCAAGTAAGCCAGAGCAGCAGACAAACACAGAGAAGGACCGTGCAGGTTGAAAAGGCATTGCAGTCAATGCACATTGAGGGACCAGCCTTACAGCTGAGGCTGTGCCAGCTGCACTGGGAGCAAATGCAGCTGCATCCCAGCAGAAGGTATACACACCCCATCCTTTCCTGACAGGGATGACTACACTTTGTAGTGAACACTGTGACTTCTTAGCCCGCTCAGGAAAAAAAAAGCTACAAAGAACTCTTTTTATCTAGCTTTGATGTACACAAAATCATCAGCAGGTAGCTTAACAAGCCAAAACTAAGAAAAAAAAATAAATAAAAAAAATCAAAGCACCTTTCACATTTTTTGCAAGGGCAGGTAGTGACAGGATCAGGGGTGATGGCTTTAAACTGAAATAGGGAGATTTAGATAGGCCGTTACATCCAATTGGACAACATCCAGAAGTTCTTCCCTGTGAGGGTGCTGAGGCGCTGGCACAGGGTGCCCAGAGAAGCTGTGGCTGCCCCATCCCTGGCAGTGCTCAAGGCCAGGTTGGACACAGGGGCTTGGAGCAACCTGCTCTAGTGGAAGGGGTCCCTGCTCCTGGCAGGGGGTTGGAACTGGATGAGCTTTAAGGTCCCTTCAACCCAAAATAGGCTGGGACTCTATGACATGAATCACTTGTTTTTCTGCCCGCTTGCATGGATTTGAACGTGTACTGCCATCTACAGGAAGCTACTCTAATTACCTTTAATGGTCAACGACTCAGCACAACGCTTAATTAAAAGCTACCACGCAAGCACACGCTGCAGCCCTACAGTAGCTACTTTTCTTCATTTCCTTGGAAGATTCTAGGATTTGTGTGGAAAAAAATACTTCAAAGTTTCAGAAGACAACTCAGTCTGATCGATACATCAACTCTCACTTTCGCATCACCATATGCCACTTACTGGCATCATTGATGGTACTGTGCTTCAAGGTCTCAGTTATATTACGAAGCCCAATTAGTAAAAATGTACCCAAAGTCACTCTTTCTCTGCTTTTATCTACCGGGTATGTGTGCCTGTGCAGACACTGCTTCTCCTCAGGTATTAACTATTTAAAGCATAGACAATTTCTGCTTGCAGAGGAAACTCACAATACATGCTTCATCTCACATAGAAAGCTTCTTTTCCAAACCAATTAGTTATCTAAGAACACTGTTAGAGAACACTAGAACAGATAATACTTGAGTATTATCTGTTTCATGAAATAATTCCTGTATATTTAACAATCAGTAAGTTAAAATATTTTAAAAATGGTATCTGTTCCAAATATGTTCTGTTTTAAAAGATATTAATATATGCATACTGGTCTAAAATATATTAATAACATCATCAAATTGTCGTTGTAAAATAAACACCTTAAACCACAGTGATGCAAATTCTTAATCATGAAGAACCATCACTATTTGTGTTTAAAAACCATGTGACCACTAGAAAGAACTCCTGAAAAGGTCATTTCTTCTTGATTTCCAAAGGGACACATTTCCAGCTTCTACCTACCTGAATAATCACTTTGCAAGTTCAGAGTTAACAAGATTTTTTATTATTACATTCATATTTCACTCATGTAGTCTGCTTAGATGTCAGCACAAAATCAGTTTATTTCCAACAATTCAATGAACAATGTATATGCAGAAAACTGATCAAATAATTTACAACTTCTAAAATTAATTTTAACAAAGAAATATGCTGCTTGGAATTTATGGCATAAATGGAAACAGCGCAACAAGAATAAAGTCAACAATAGTATTTAAGCAACTATCATGGGGAAAAACATTCTTAAATCCTGTGATAAGGCAGCCAAAACAGATTATTAACTTTCTAAAACTGGACAAATATTACCATTATGAAAGCAGAACCAGTAATCATTAACCTTTATGAAACACTTGAATAACACAATGAATAAAACCAAAGAATAATTTTGATAAATTCAAATACACTGACTTCTCAGTGATTGCTACAAGCATACTCTACAAAACTGACTGGGGTTTCTATTACTAAAGTGGTAATTCCTGTTCATCCAGTTGATTGAGCTGATTAAGGTCTTGATGAGGCCTTTTAGTGTAGAGTGGTCTGTATCTTCTGAAACTGGATCATTTACTCCTGTAAGACAGCAAGTATCTCTTGCTAATACGGACATTAAGAGATACTTAAGACACTGTGAGACAGTTGAAGCTCCTAAGCACGGTTTGAGTCATTTTAACAGCAGAACAGCTGCTGAATTTAAGTTATCCCTGTAAAACAGGCATGTACACACATTACCAAGTATAGGATAAAGGTGTTAATTTACTAACTGGAAAAAACTAAGCTTTCATTTTTATCAGACTTTTCAAAGTAGCAAAAGTTAAAAGTTGCAGTATTTAGATGTCAAACTGCAGTTCACCTGGACTGCAAAGCACAGAGCAGAATTCACTGCCCCCAACCACATCAGTGTAACTATAGCATACATGGCTTGCTCTACACGCAACCCCAAACCATTTCATATTGGTCAAATGCAGTAACATATTTATAATGAAGTTAAACACAGATGTTAACCTTGAAATTAGTATTTTACTTATTTATTGTTATATGCTGAAATATTATTAAAACTGGTAGTAATGTTAATGCTTACTTATAATGAAACATAAGAATAGCAGCATTAGAGATGAATACTTTAACAGTAGTTAAGATTTTATGAATAGGCTTCCAAGTATTAATTATAGATGACAAAAAATGAGGGAACAGTGCATAAATGGCAACCGTGATAATTGTAACTAATTATAAAAATCAATAGTACTTACTCTAATTACTCTAACTATAGTAATTAATTAAGCAGTAAAACCAGTAGTTCAAAAGCCAGTTGAGAATTGTATGTGACAATTAAAACTTCCCTGACTTTTAAACGTATTGTAAACATGAGCTTTCCTATACAATACAAGTATGCTTTATTGAAGACCTAATTAAAATCAAAGTCATGGGTGTGTTTTGGATCTAGTACTAAACGTATGATCACAATCTTACATGGCAGCACTTGCAAGAGGCTATTTAAAGGGGAAAGAATGGTGAAAAAAGATGCTCGCATCTGCACTTGAAAGCCAGTCAGGTTAAGGTGACAGAAAGCTTTGTGTGCCCAGAAAGGGTGGTTTCTGACACCAGCACACACTGCTGCTGCTTCATTTTTGTCAGGCAGCTCTACATCTGTCCAGCTAACTGCTCTTAGTTTCCAATTAGATCTGCATGCTAATCCAATGCACCCCACAGCTGTATGGTTGCTAAAGCTGAAATAAGAGAGAAGAAAGAAAATTATGCGAAGAACATGGGGAAAAAGATAGCACAGGCAGTGTGATCTAGCCATGAAACCATACCCTAAAGTCTGTGGGAACTTAATACCCCGACAAGAAGCCAAAATCTGCTTCTGCCACTACTTTTCATGCTGATGTAAAACTAAAGGAAGTCTTCAGAAGAGAATGAAATTACACCAATTGAAAACCACTGGGAAAGGAGAATGGAACTAATAACATCCAACAATTACTATAACCAGTGGGCAAAAACCCCAGCTCTTTTCTAGAAAAAAAATAAATAAAAAGCATTGTATTTTAGTATTGTGAACACTGTTAGAAACAAGAGTGTTTGCAGAAAGGAGATTGAGTAAGTGTTCCTTGCATTAAAAAATTACTGCCTTTCAGATGCTCACCTCAGGAAAGTACTGAAGTTCACGCAACTCTCAATTCTATACAGCTACTGAGGAATAAACTTGCTTCAGATCTGTAGGCAATTCTGTGAGCAAATCTGGAAGTAAATGCAAGGTGAAAGAAACCTATCTACCTTTCCACAAATTATTCTGAAATATAGCTATTTTTTTCTCATTCTGTTATTACATATATGTAATAAAACTGGTGAAGGTTCCCTGTAACTTCCACCCTTTGGCAATGTTATTTAGGTTACAGAGTAACAAGAATCAAAATGAGCACAGAAGGGCTTCAACAGCTTTCAACCAGCATCTTTTCCAGCTTCCTAATTGGACACACTTTGAACTGCTCAGTTACAACCAGTGAAACGAGGAAGACCAGAGTCTATTCATGCATATTTGGCCATCATGTTGAGACTCCATTTCATAAATCACTTCAATTTTCTGTTCTCAGAGTTGCTGTTTCTATCCCATCTAAAACAGGAACAATCTTACTGGCACACTATTGACCCTTCCCAATAGAGAAATCTTGTAAAAGAAAACTCAAACAAAAAAATCATTGTGGTGATTAACCAGAAAGACAAGTAAATATTTCAATAAATTTAACAATATATAACAGCATATCTTTTATCCTAGTTTATTTGGAGAATGAATGTATTTTAGGTTGACTATCACATTACAAGCCATGTTAGTGAGTAGTACCCATGGCATTCTTATCAGGGGAAAACTATTATTTAACTGGAAAGTTATACATGCATTTTCTATTTTAATGTTTGGTTACAGCAAAGCATTGACAGCATCAATCAGACAAGTAATCTTTTGTATAGCCACATACAGGATCCTATAGGTCCCTGCAAGTTGTATAAGAAGTGAAATATATACTTGCAAATGTCAACTTTGGGGAAAAAAAAACACCTGGAACCTGCACAGACATTCCTAATACTTGTGTAAGTCAATTAATGGACTCAGTATTTGGACGGATCACATCTAAAGACACATTATCTTAGCTCCAGGAAATCAAGCTTCGAGATGAAGGTATCTGTAAGATACCAAAAAGAAATTGTTTGCACGTAGCAAAACATTAATAAACAGCAAAATCTAATTATTGCAAAAACATAAACACTGCAGCTGTAACACTTCTAACCATACCATTACAGCCTTACCAGTGAAAACAGAAGTGTCAATGCTAATGTAAACTCAGCTGCTGATATATATTCATTAGATTCAGAAAAGCTCCAACATTTCTTCTTCTATGTCAGATTTTATCTGTCATCAGCCACAAATCAGTGTAGATACAATAGGATATACCAAAATGTAAAGTTTCAGGACACCTAGGACTTAGATGTATCTCCATTCTTGTCTTTTCCTCCATAAAAATCACCTGAAGAATCCTATCAAGGAGACTACTGTGGCTTTCAAACAGCATCTGGGAAGCAAAGGGGCAAAAAAATGACAGGATATTCTGGTCAGGCAGAGCTATGTTTTGGCCTTGGTAGCCCTGAAGGTGACCTCAGAAACAGGTAATCAACTCTCACCCTGCAACAATGCAGAGATTCAGCATTAGATCAAACACACAAAAGGAAGGCAGGATGCAAGAGGATACAGGGCTCCTTGCCCATGCCCTGACCTGAATATTGTATATTGTGCTTTGTGTAATTCAACAGAAATGCCCATAAATGAAATTATGAGTAGACACCTCCTCTGGGTTAAATTTAAACTTTAAGGTGAACCTGATTTACTATCACTACATATGTGGTGACAGGCTAAGATTTATTTAAGAGAATTAAAAACCCCCAAAACTTATGATTTGAGAGTTGAAAATAAGACAAAACAAATGATTTTATCAGGCATGCACTAGCATTACCCAAAGGCACACCACTTACTGCTGCAGAGACAATCAACTGACCAATTATTCTACCATCACAATCTGCCAAAAGCTGAACTTACTTTCTGGGAATCTTAACCTAATGACAAAAGATGAGGAAGCAGAGAAAAAAGAGAGAAGGAAAGAGATAAATAATGGACCATCCTTTGGTTTATGTTGAAGTTTACAGAATAAATGCTCAGTGCTCAAGAGCTACCCACAATGAGTACCGCTAAGTAAGTACAAATGAGTTTATGATTGCACAGACATGCTGAACCAAGAGCTCTATAAACCAGCCTGATCACTTCTGCAGTATGACAGAAGAATGACTCTAGCTATTTAAATCAGTAGTATTTTTATCATTATTTGATCACTCTCAGGTCTAAGTAGAAGAAGATGAACAATTTCTTTATTACAATGTGCTACATCTTTTGTGATTAACATGCAATCTGAGTTCTGAGATTTGAAAGTTTTCCATCTGGTCTGTATTAAAGAAGTATATTATAAATTAAGAAAACTCACTATGGCTTAAGTCAGTAAATTATGTGCTTCATCCTCATTTATAGAGGCAAAGGGAATTTGTAAAAGGGGAAAGAAAACCACATTTGCAAGCATTGCTAAGCAGGGAGCATAGGAAGTCATTTGCAGGAATAAGAGAACAACAGTCCCAGAATGGGTACCTGAGCAATGACCCAAATCAGAGGACGAGAATTTCTGACACACAATGAAGTATTATTCCATTATTAGCACTTAAATTAGCTTCATTGTGAAACAGTAATTAAGCAGCAGGGAGATTCAATGTCTTAGCCTTTTATTCTTGATTCTAATTTACATGATTAAATTCTAACTTATTCGCTGATTACCTTGTTGCTTAACATGCTTTTGGTTCTCATGGGGTTTATTTTTGTCCTTGCTTCTTTTTCTGGGTGTAGCAGTTTTTGCCCTCACTAAGCCACAAGTTTCAGCATGCTTATGCATGTTATCCTGTTAGCATAATGAAGCATAAATATATGAATCAAATATTAATGTATGTAAGCAATTTAACACACACAGAAAAAAACAAATATGGTTCTGACAGAAAAATTCTTGAATGCTAAGTGAAAGGCTGACTTAGTTAAAAACTTCCATAAAACTCCTGAAGATTTTCCAAATTATATATTAAAATTCTGTTTAAAGGAACACTGCCATTTGGTGGGTATAAATCAAGTATCTAATTTTCTGGTTCCTGGATAAACAATAAAGTTTTACATGTAAAATCAGTATGTGGAAAAAAGGCTATTTTTACTTCAGCAGTGTGCACAGTTAACCCCAAAGCAGAGATACGTTCTAACTGCATATGGCTTTGAAGTGAGTAATAATTTCTTACTTTCCTTGCTGAACTGGTTCTAGCACTCTTTCTTTTAAAATTCGTACCTCCACACTGCCTTTTGATTCATTTTAAGAATGTATTAAACATTCAATACTGAATTCCACAAACCAGTAACAGACCTGAAAAGATTAAGTAGCATATATTTTCTACCTAAAGGAGAATATAAAGTTCTTTATTAATCCCTTAATGTAAAGTTTGGGAAAGAAAACAAACAAGTTTTGCTGGCTTAGCATTAAGGAGTTAACATTCCTGCCAGTACACTGGTTTTTACTCTCAGTCCTTCCTGACAATGTGATCTGCAATACTTAGCTAAAGATAACTCCACTGAGTTTCCTTAAAAGGAAGTATCTTACTCAGAGTGAATAGCCCTTACCACATTTAGGGCATTCATAAACTATAGGCTTAATATGAGAATCATGGTGCTTCCTAGAGTGAAGAGTAAGAAGCTCCTTTTGTTGAAAGGTTTTGCTGCAGCACAAGCAAGCAAAGGGCTTCTTCCTAGTATGGGTTCCTTTATGTACAATTAAGTGTTGTTCCTGAAACAAAGAAAATACCTCTAACATAACTATCCAGCTCTGAGAGTTCAATAAACCACACAGGCACACAGAGGAGTGCAAGGATGTTGCACACTCCTTAATTATCCTCCACTATAAGATACTGCCCACTGACTTGGAGAACCTGAGACATTTTCTCCTAACCTTAGTGAAGTTAGCAGAGAAAATCATCAGAATGGAACAATGGTACATTCCAACATACCAATGCCAAAGATGTTCTATCCTAAATGTATTCTTTAAAAAAATTACAGTTCAGACCAAATTTATTCTGTGACGCTACCGAAAATCACATTTAAGGCTCAAATATTACAGTTTGTTCCTATCATAATGTCACTGAAAGTGATTTATGTTACTTTGTACTTCTAAGCAGTTCATGTACAAAAGATTTATCAAGAAGATAGCCTCAGACTTTACAGCATTTCAATTTACTGTTATTTGTGAACCATTTATCTTGCAAATAAACATAACTACACCATTTTAGTTAGACTGCAGTCACAGAAGTTTTTATCTTAAACACAACCCCAAAACCCCACCTTGCCAAACTCTCAACTGAGTAAGCAATATTTTTACAGTGAGTACCTGTTTACATGCATAGCTGCACTGATCACATTTGAATCTTCTTTCATTTCTATGAGTCTTCCTGTGCTGAACAAGAGCATAGCGCTCATGAAATACAGCTTCACAGTCACTGCATTTAACTGCCACTGCCATGTAGGAATGCAGATTTCGTAAGTGGACACCTGAACAGTTACACAAAGCAATTAATTTGTATAGTAAATTTTTAATTTCCACCATTTTGAAGAAGACTTACCCTGTGCATAGCCCTGAGTAATGTGTACATTGTAGAGGATATACAAAAAAAAGAACTTCGTGTTCTCTGCAGTAGGAGTAAAATTTCAAAAAAAAAAAAAAGCAATTTTTCAAGGAAGTTTAACTGAGTTGCAGCAAGATGTTGTAACTTTACAGAGAGATTTAGAAGTTATGAGCCTAACTCTTACTGATTTCCATGGAAAACATTTAACAAATCAAATCCTTTTGAAAATTCCAGTAACTGGCTGCTTTTGTCTACACATAAAATTAATTTTAAAATGCTACCCAAAGTAGTACTTACAGTATTAAAATGAACAGTGCAAAAAATACATGAACGATGAGATTGTATATATATAACACTTCTACCTTCAAATACTTAACAGACTTCAATAGGATCTTTATTTGAAATACAAATAGATGCTAAAGACATCTTTGTATGTCTATTTTTTTAATATAGCTGTTTCATTTATTTCTGTAAACTTAAAATTTTATATAGGTTTTGTTGGCCTTGGTCAGCTATATTGCCTCAAATACAGCAAATATGCTATAATTCTAAAACACTGGTTGATTAATAAAATTCTTATCTGTACAAAACCTTTTTCTTCCTAGAAAAGATGAATTTGCTTATGAAATACATGGATAAAGACAACTTTACTGGTACTTGAAGCAAGTACTGTTCTAAAGAAGAGTAATTAAAAAAATTCATATATAAATCCTTAGTAAATTGCTTGTATTTCAAGAACTGTGGTTTGTATGAGAAAAAATTTCAATTTATGTTCTCAAGTACAATTTTAATTTATACTCTCAGTTTGAACCTCTGCATAGAGAATGAAGATGAACTTATGCAGTGGTTTGTTCTTTGCACTCTGGAAAAAGATCCCAACTAGCTAAGAGACATTTGAGTTTATTGCATTACCATCCACGTTTCACAAGTGTTATACAGCTCAAAAATAATCTTTGATATCGATGCAATAGGATTTAGAATTCTAAGAATTTTGAATACTGGAGGCATAGTAAAAACATTTTCTGATGAACCAATGAAGTCAAAATTTAACTTGCACTTTACTAACAAATGCTATTACATGTACTTCTTTAAATTACAAGGACAATGCACTCAGCAACTAAACATACAGTTCAATTTTAGATTAAAAGGTAAAAGCTGATTTGGCATACGCAAAAAACCCATATATACTGAAACATTCAATCTGCTTTAGTGTCTCATATAGCTAGATGCATATATTCATTTTAACTAGAGCTGAGAAAGAAACAGAACGGGAGAACTGAAATGGCTTAATAAAAATCTGACTGTTTTCTGTGGCTTTGAGGAAAAACTTCATTACAACCTGGGCATGTATCTTCGTGAGGTACATTCTTACTGAAAACCGTAAGGTCACAATGCCACCAAGTATCAAGCAAAAAACCCCAAATTAAGGAAATTAGCACATCAACCACAAGATGTCACCACATCTCCTTGCAGGAGGAATTTATCTGTAAAACAACGAATACATTTTCTATAGAAATATTTTGTAATGATATCAAGTCATATGTAACGTATTTGGTATCGTTGCAAGCAATGAAAACGAAGAGATTTCACCTCTAATTACCTCTACAGTTCAATTTTTTACTTTAAACTCACCCAGGTCACTTTTTCGCGCAATAAAGGCACTACAATGTGGACACTTGTATTTTGGCACATTTTGTCCATGCTTCTGTAACATATGGATTTTCATGGTACCACTTTGAGTGAATGTGGACTGGCAAACATAACATTCATAGGGTTTTTCACCTGTAAAATACGTCTTATAATAACATATGCTTAGAAACGCCACTCATTTGCTACAAATGCAAAATTGCCACGTCTCAACATCTGTGTTCTAATAGTAACAGTCTTCAGACCAATGAAAATGTTACTGTTAGTGGGCAAAACACAAAAGGCTAAACAAGTTTAAATAAGTTTACATAGCTGATTAGAATGCAAAAACTTGGCTTCCAGAATCTGTGAGTCAAACTGATGAAACATAAAGCTATTAAAATTCTAAACTATTAATCAGGAATTATTTTAATTATCTTCTACTCTGTCCTGAATATTTAATGTACAAAAATGCAGAATTATCCTCAAATGTGCATGAAGAAAGTTTACAGCTGTAACAACGTCATAATAAAAGTGAATCAACACCAGCCAATCATAATGGTAGAAGAGAAAGAGGGAAATTGTTTTCTTGCCTTTCTTCCCCCAAAAGTCACATAAATATAATAAAAAAAAAATTTTGATGATGAATATCATCAAGAATTACATCACGACTGACAATTGACTCAGTCTACCTGATCATTACATCAGAGTCCTACCTGAATGAGTTATCATGTGCCTTTTCAGTTTATATGCATCTTTGCTAGCATAACTGCAAAGTTCACAGGCATAAGGACGTTCTCCTGTATGTGTGCGAACATGTCGTTTCATTTTGCTTGCCTACCATAAAAATAAGAACATTTCTGCAGTAACACACTGGACACCCAAACAATTAAAATACAAGCAATTTTACACAACACGCCTATTGCAATTTAAAATAATCCATCAATCCCAGAATTAATGCTCATCCAGCCACCCCTTTTTTCCTGTACAATCAGCCTGGTGTGGTTTTAGGTAACGCTTGTGTATTCCCCAAATGATCTTACTTTCGTATTTAGTGTCAACATAAACAAAAGGAGAAATTTCATTAGAACATAAAAGCTAGGATTTTTAAAGGCGATATCCACTACTTTCAGGTTACTTGGATATGTCACACATGAAATTCTTTGAAAATATCAGGAAAATAAATGAAAGACCAAACTCATTAACCAAAGGCTGTGCTCACCATCAAGGGACAATGAAGCAGTTTAATTGCAAATTCAGTCCACTTTTTAATACTGTTCTTGTGACACATTCTATATAAATACTGTAGGCATGCAAGCTAAAATTAGGAGTTACCTAATGTTCTAATTCCTACATTTATAAACATATATGAACTAATGAACTCTCTGCTAGACCCATTCAAATCTACAACACTTAAATAAAATTAAACATGATTGCCAATCTTTTCTATACCAAGGTCAAATTGTATGCATGGTATTACTAGGGGGCTCCTTCAGCTCTCCTCATTCAGGTAAAGCTTACAGCAGTATCAGTGAGAGTTCCACAACAGCAATGAGCACTGAACACTCATTAAAACAAGGAAAATAATGGGAGACTTTAATACAAACTGAAAAGTTTTTTTAAAGATGCAAGCCATCCAAGATCTAATTAGTAAGGTAAGTTGTGTGGAATAAAATTCAGGCTTGCCTGCAGCTTTAGATTTGGACACAGCACATAAAAACTTTAGATACTGAATATCCACGAAACTGTGACAGCGATTCAATCACAGATAACCATGACTGTGATTCAATCATAGGTACATCACTGAAGGCCTATTTTTCCCAGTGAATCCTTAGGCAGTCACTAACTTTTTTATTGGTAGATTAAGAAAATTTCAGCTCTGTAAAAAACCCCAAACATCAGCAAGCATTTAAACATAACACATGAACTTCATTTTAGACATTAGCTGGTTTTGTCCTACAGTACATAGAATGACGCGTACAGGAGAACTTCTGTAGGATGCTTTTGCATGATCAAAGTAATACAAAGACATTATTGCCTAGCAGCAATTTTAATATAATAAAGAAGAAAACACGCTTCAAATGTAATTGGTTTAAAAAAGCTAAATTAATATTGTGCAAGTTTGGCTATTCTTCCTAACTCAGAATGCACATGTACATCTGCATCACGAGCCAAGTATTAATACTGTAAGTTGACATCTGCAACTACCTCTGTAATGTATTGAGTTTATTTCATATAGAAATCTGACAGTAACAAAAGACGATACATGACAGTACAATATATGCACAGAAACTTCTCAAGGTTAAAATCTAGCAAAAATGACAGAACTTGAAGTGCGTTAATATCTTAGTATGTGAAAGCCTACAAACCCTTCCAAAAGATCCAGAAAGGCTGTACTTACTTCTACACTAGAATATTTACACAATGAACACTTGAAAGGTTTTTCTAAGGTATGCTTGTAACGCCTGTGTCGTGAAAGCTCACTCCTGGTCACAAATGCCATATCACAGTCACTGCAGTTATAGGGCCTGGTCCCTGTAAGAACAGACCATTTCTTAGAATTTTATTTATCAACACATCAGTATGATTTGTCTGCCTTAATTATCATGCACAATTTTTTACCAGAACTTTTTCTGAGTTTCTGAATTTTATGTACTATATACGTAAAACCATAAGTTTATTATAAAAACAATTTATCAGTTTTTTTCATATGATTATATAGCAAACTGAAAACATCACAAAAAATTTTATTGCACACATGGAATCAGACACAGCTGAAGTCAACATTCAGTTAACAAAAATTATTAGGAAAGTATTTAACAGAATAAATGAATATATACACAGAGAGTTACTAACTATAGACCATGTCTTTTCAGTGTAGAACTCCAAAATCAGAGCACAAAACGACCACAGAATACAGCCCTAAGACAATTTTGTAGATAATATGTAAAATGAAGTCTTTTCACATGTTAGATACCTGTATGTACATTCAGATGGTTATGCAGGAGAGTAGCTGTACGAAAAGCCTTAAGGCAGAGGTGACACACATGAGATTTCTCATCAGAATGGGTTTTCACATGATGATTAAGACTTGATATTCTGAGTGAGGTGAATGTGCACAAATCACAGCGGAAAACTTCTCTTTCTCCTGTGGGAAAAAACACATTTAGATTATATGAGCCACAAAATAATGACTTCTTCAAAAAATAGTATCGATTTCATTATTGTTCCTCTACTTTGGGTAAGACTACTTTGTACTTCTACATAAAAATACAGAATTAAAAAAAAATTAAGCTGACAGACAGAAATTATTATAGCCAAGACTTAAGTGATTTGCCCCAAAAAGTAGCGCCACACATTACTGATACAGTTTAGAACCTAGCCCCAAGAAACCTAACTCCTAATCAAGCTCTCACCTCCAAGACAGGATGAAACTTCCTCTCTTGATAGCACCAATAAAATGTGCTTCATCACGGCAATTACAACCTGTGCAATATACTTCCTGGTGACAACTGTATATTAGTACTAAGCAAGCTTGTTCAAAGATTTGGAAATTACAAGTTAAGCTACTCTCAGCTTTCTGATAGTCCTGAATCCATAAAGTATATGTAAAAAAGATCATGACATAAAAAGCCTTTTTAAAATTATTAGTTGAATTTGAGGAAAAAAGATCAATTCCTTGAAGAAGTCAAATAAAGTTATGCTTTCTGGATTACAGAACATGTCCAAGTTCATGGCATAGCCGTAAAGAATTTCTTTCGAATTTAGTAAGTTAAAAGTGAATGTGTAACATTTTCAGTTTTGAAGAAGATCTGAAACTGCAAAATGGCAAATATGTCATATTCGAAGAGCCTTTCCAGAACAGTTGTCTCAGCTCCCAAATGCGCTCTTTGCGATGATTTTCATGCTGAGACCAAAATGTATTTTATACAATGCTTTACACCACACAGAGATATGCAGCTAACACTTCACTTCAATAACAGCAAACAAAAACACTTTATGGTTATTTATTCATTGTGGATTCATGCCCACACAGAACAACATTGTTAGCTCTGTTAAAGCTGCTCAAATGTGCTTCCTATAAATGCAGCAACTAAAACAAGGGGCATTAAAAATTTGTACAACATCCGTACTTTAAACAACCTCAGCCAAGATACCTTAATATCCAGATACTACGACACACGTTTACAGACTCTTCAACATTACTGATGTCATCCAACTTTTACAGTACACACACACAGTTTCTAGGGAAACAGATGCTTATGATTCCCTTCTGAGTCAGTCCTTAACTTATGCAACACACTGTTATGTTCCTAAAATCTGAAATCAGCCATTTTCTGTTACTTTTACTCAAGTTCTGGAAGATACCTTGCTGACAGGCATTGATATTTGCCCATCACCCTCAACCAGCAACTTGAAACCACTCTAAGCTCATCCATAGCCCCCCATACAAGTACATTTTGAAGCTGAATGATGGAATTAAGGAAGACTAAGTAAGTTAGTAGATTTATTCAAAGGCAGTTATACAATATTAACTTTGAAATCTCCCCAAAGGATTCAAATACCACATACTGTTCAAAAGACCATTAAATTCTAAATGCCATCCAAAACGTCTCCCCTGAACACAGCGCAGATGACATCAGCCTAAACCAGCTCTTTTATCAAGTAAGGTTGAAAGGTATTACGCCCTCTTCCAAATTTCCATAGGATGTTAAGATGAAACCTAATCTAAACTTAACACTGTGAATATTTTCTATAAGATTTCAACCTCACTTAAAAATCAAACTTAACATGTTATCTAAAAGTGAACTACAAGGATTGCTAACTTTTTTACCTTTTTTCTGATGTGGAGCACAAATCTGAAATTCTGGATTCTCAGGATTTCTCACAGCTGCTTGTTCTGATGGAGTTGCATGTTTCTGCTCTTTACCTTCATCACTTGGGTCTGATAAATCATCACTGGCTTTGTAGCTCCAGCTCTTTGTTTCCCCAAGAGTGAAAAGAAGTTCCTCTACTCCCCCCACTTCAGATGGTGTCAGCTGCTGGACCTTACTTTCAAACGCAATTACATCATTATCTCTGTCAATCTGTTTTAAAAAGTTTTACAACTTTGTAAATCAAAGCCAGTGGCAAAGCAAATGAGCTACCAACAAAATACAAGATACTCATTAATTCTGATTTTTAGCTTTAAGTACGATGGGTAAAACTGCAACAAAACCCAAACTGTATGTAACATACAGCTGCTATGTCATATAGCGAACAATTACTATAATTGAGCCCTAGCTCTTTAAAATTTTACATAAACTTTCAGAGCATCATTTCAAGATTACAGCACTGAGAACATAGAAACTTGTGTCCTCATTTTTTAAAAAGAATTTCATTTCAGTACATTTACCTTTCAAAAGAAAACAAGCAGAAAGTATGTGCTCAATTTCTCACCAAACACAGGACTTCTGCAGCCTAACTGCAATGCCTTCTTTGTCATATGGCAATTAACAAGGTTGTGATACTTTTTGCATTAAACTTAAATATGACCATACTTAGAAATTAACTAGGGTAGCACATGAATTTTCAAAGAAAAAACAATTATTATTTTATTATAAAACCAATAGCTAGCACAGGATAAATACCAATGTTCGCATGTCCTTTCAACGAAACGCATTTCAAATGAGATCATATTACACATCCAGCTTTAACAATGACTGCAGTATTGTACTACTGCAGAAGAAGGGAAATTGTCTAATACTACTTAAGATATCTACCCTGTCAAATGAAACAGCACCAAACTGGTAAACTGAATTAAAAACTCGTCTGAATTTCAACTGATTAGTCATCTAAAAAGGCCAAATTTTTAGTCTGCCTTTTTAAACATGGGATGACATTCTAAAAAGCTGTACAAAGGATTAGATACTTCATTTCAACAAATCTGAATGCCTAGAAAAGATAATACTGGAGTCAGAACCGAATCAGTGATGCTGCCAGCTAAGAGTTAACCTACTGCCATCTTCACCACATCCAGGACTCGTACCTCAATCAGTAGCATGTCTGGTGGTTTCCCTGTTGGCTTGCTTTCTGAACTAATTGCTTGTCCTTCTTCTTGTAAAACATTACTCTGCGCCAGCCCTAAGTCACAAAACACACAGACCCCTTCCCACACGCTTATGGCCATGCCTGCCGGCACGTCGCACAGCACGGGCTGTAGCACAACCGCCCCAGCCAGCGCTGCCACGGCCATGCCATTCTGCGGGTGGGCACTTATCGGGCAGATGCCCTCCAAGTCCTCCTCCTCTGTGCTTGGACACACTGTCTGTAGGGTCAGCAAGTGCTTTTCACCCTCTTCAGGAAACAGGGACCACTCTGGGGACACACTCGCCCCCGCCTGCATGTTGAGTCCCCACTGTGCTCACTGGTGCTGCTCCTCTCCTTCACTTGGGTTTTCCTGTCCCCATCACTCCCCTCTCTCAGTCTTTTTTTTCTACACCCCCTAGTTTGGGGGAAGGCTCCAGCAGCCCTAAGGCCACATACACTGCCGAGTGAACCTGTTCAAAAGGCGAAGGTTAAAAATGAGGGCAAATCACAGGCTTTCAGGACAATGCCCTGGACCTGCCTCACACTCCAGCCCTTGAACACCTCGCTTCCTGGCCCCCGCCGCCTCACTGGCAACCCACAGAGCCTCCCGGCGGGCCCTCACCCCTTCCACCTCTCCCTGCACCTCCGCCCCGGGCTCTCCCCAACCCAATCCACCTCCCTGCCGCCGCCCTCCAGCCTCCCGCTGGCGGCTGCGCTCCAACGGCGGTGTGCCCAGCCCTCGGGGTGCGGGCGGGCGAGCAGCCGCGGCGGCGAGCGAGGCCGGTGCTCCGCTCGGGTGGAGACGGGGCTGTGCACCTCGGCATGGCGGCCCCGCGCACCCAGCGGGCAGCCGGCCCCGCAGCGGGGAACCCGCTCGTGGGCAGCATCGCCCGTGGGGGGGGCTGGTTAATTCCGCAGGAGGCACATGGAGGAACCTCCAGCGGCCTCTCCGTGCAGGGGCCGTGCCCGGTGCTCAGCAAAGAGCCCATCTCCTCGCTGTGAAAGCGGGGGTGGTAGGCAGCAAGGCCTCCTGTCACAGCAGCCTGCCATTTTGTCACACTCGAGCCCTCGATGATGATCTCTCGGTCTTTAATTGCAGGCCCTTAACCTTCTGCTCCCACTTGGCTGGAGACCACGGCGCTGAGCTCAATTGGCTTCCCCACTTGCAAAGTATTTGAAGTACCTCCCATGTTTCTCTCGCAGAAGCACTTCATCCTGGGTGCCGTGTCACTGGAGTGGTGCTGAAGAGCGGGCTGACTGCTGGTGCCGCAGCACCGCGTACCCCGGGAGCTGAAGTGTTCCACAGAATTGGCTGAAGTAGGCTTGCAGAGGCAGTAGAGCGATACATAAGCATCATTATGCTCTACTTTAGGCCAGGATTGGTTATTCAGTGAGAACAAGAAGTTTTTAGACTTAAAAGACTTCTCCAAAGACATTGTAAAAATGTCTTTGAGGTAAACTTGTATGATTTCAGAGACTTAACATTTAATTTTGTGTACCCTTCTAGACTAGCAATTTCCAACTGTCAAACATTTTATAAGGCTGACTTACCATTAATTTCTATTATGCACTAGTGCAAAGTACATATTTGGAGCTCTATCACTAAATACTAGTTCTGTGTGTAGCAAAGTACTGTACATTGCGCAGTGACTGCAGCTCAGTGTGGTCCAGGTCCTGCTAAACTGTGTACTGAACTTTAAACAAAACCCCTGAGCAGCCTGTGGCTTTCATTGCCTGTGTAAGTAACACATTAAAACTTGCATTTGTGAAATATCTTTAGCACAAAATAGGAACAGATGCTGCTGGCCTATTAGTTGTACCATCGGACAAGGGGCTGTTTTGGACAAAGCCAATATTACATGGTGTATTTCTGGTTGCAGTTAACATTTTTGGGTACCCAGGAGCCAAGTGCCTCTTTTCCATGGTCATTAATCTTTCTGTGTTGTGGGTGCCTGAGGGAGCAGGCCTATATAGTGCTACTGGAAAAACAAGTGATTCTGGTTACTGCAAAGGATGCAGCTGTGAAAAGTACATTGGTGGGGTCACTGTAACAAGTTCTAAGAGTGGAAAAATTAAAACTTTTGTATCTTGATAAGTGAATCTCATAACAAGCCTGTTTTTAGGTCCCTGACTTTACTGGGCCTTATCTTCAGAGACAGAAAGTTTCTGCAACTCCGATAAACACCCTTAACAATAACTTCACCTATCCACAAATCTGTGGAATCCTAAGTGCAAAAAGAATATTATTTTTTTACATGTAATAACTGCAGATTAGTCACAACTATTACATTACTTGGAATCAACACAAATCCAAAGCAATTATTTAAGGTTGAATACGTATTCCAGCAATTTAGGGCTGATATTTTAGTTAGATACCGCATTATTCATCACCTACAGAATCTGTGGGCTCCCAAAACCAAAGAACAGGATGCAGAATACGCAATGTATTCACATAATTATGCTTCTGGTGACTGTAGCCAGAGATTATCCTTCTTACACATTTCTGACTCCTTTCAAGTTGCTATGTATACTGTGCAATTATGATAGCTGAAGAGCACTGAGGAAAAAAAGTTGTTATAATAATACATCCTCCTTTAGGAAATTTTAATGAGTTTTTATGCATTAGAACAGTTGTAAGCATCCAAGAGCTGTCCCGCTTTCTACTTTTGCATTACTAATACCAGCAACATCCATGCAGCTACAGTTAAAGGTCTGTCATTATTTCCATTATAAACTAATATTTTCAAGGATTTAGAACTTAAATATAGAATTCAGTTAATTTTCATTGACTTTAAAGGCACCACTTAGATCAGCAATCTGCAACTTCAACCACTTTCTAATTACACCTTGACACAATAGAAGTTAACAGCTCCATAATGGCCGTTAGGGTCTATTGTGTGTACAATCTCCAGTTACCACTGCTGCCTGCTGCACCATCTATCTCTAACTGCAATCAAGCTTTTACCCTCTGCTCTAAAGGCTGTATTTCTTTCTAACAGATCAACAGTCTCCATGAAAAAAAACCTGTCCTGAAAAGAACAGAGGACCTTTTTATTTTATAAGTCATATTGTGGGAGTAAACATTATTGTTTGTTAGGCGTATTTTATAAAGAACATAAGGAGTTTAATGTAAGCACATTCTCTTATGCAAAAAAGTAATGTTACATAAAGAACCAGAAATCAGCCACAAAATAGCAGATAAATTGCTGGTAAAACTCTACCAGTGCATGGAAGTAAATGCACGGACAACTAAAATCCTAAATCAGCAGAGAAAATTCTCCTCTTGGCTGTACTAAGGAAACACAGCAAACCTTGTTCCAATCTGTATTTTTCTACCCAAATATAAGCAGTGCAGCTGACTTTTTTTAATGAGTAAAATGTTGGATTATCTGTTCAGATTATCAGTCTGAAATCTGAGTAATGCCTTTTATAATACTTAAGATGCTTAATGCTGTTTAGATGGAGCTGACTTTTTTCAAAGCTCCATTATCATGTACACAAAGCATATTTGACCTTGAAGGTAGTTCAGTTTTCAGTTTTATTTCCTTCCTGTGTTTTAGAAAATCACTTTGGATGACTGCAGAGGCTGTATAACCAGCCTCTACTGCATATGCTTTGCATCTCCATTTTCCTAATATAGGTCCTAAACTGCAGTCCTCTGATGCCCACAGAAGCACTGCCATCAGTTTAAGTGGGTTTGGAATTAGGCCCAGAATAGATAACTATGTGAAGCAATAAGGTGCAATTTATTTACATATTTTTGACCTGTCCACAAAACTCCGAGTATATCAGCACTGTTGCAGTAAGCTTGAAAGAGAGAAAAAAAAAGTACAAGAAAGACCAAATCCAAAAAAGCCAAAACAAATAAGTCCCAATTTAACCTCTAATACTAATAACTGTTTCATTTGTGATACCCCATCTCATAGTTGAAAACCCCATTCTTCTCCAGAACATGACTCCTGTTAGTCTATGAGAAAACCCAGCCTTTGTTGTGACTTATTTTGACAGCTTTAATACAATTTTCCACCTGGCATCTGGAAAGTTTTCCATTTTCACTTTTCTACGATGTCTCACTTTTGTTTCCAAGTATATGTCGCATTCACACTGCGCCTGTCATAGCGGTATCTATGTGTCTTAACAACAGTCTGAAAACATACACACCTTTCCTTTTGCCCTTAACACCAGGGACAATTGCTACCTTCATCACCTGTTTTGCAGTGGGATATTGGCCTACTAATAACAGTAGCTAACCTCCTTAACATCATCATCTGTTTCAGAGGAAGGAAGAATACCTTTATAATCCTCCAATTCATGGGGCTTCTTTTAATGTTGTTCAGTTTATGGAGTTGTAGTCACTAAATGAAATCTTTCTTCTGTGCTTTCTGGTACTGTTGTCAACTTGTCCTTTTAGCGTCCCACTTGCATACATAGAGCACTTCTTCAGAGACACCAAAAGCTTGAATTAAAAAAAAATAAATAAAGGAAAGCATGTCAGCTAGTGAGCAAAATTAAGTATATAGATACATATATTATTTTGTATGCTCTTCTAAGCAACTCAAAGTTGTAGATTCAGAGTTAACTTAGTGCTTCAGTGCTGACCTGGAGGTCACAGGTCACAGACACAGTCTGAATTTCAGAAAAGGTACTGATCACTTGGAAAGAAGAATATTATTATTTTTTTTTCTTTTTTTGATTTTGCCCCCAGGCCTCCGATTTTGAGGTGGAAGCTGCAGTTTATTCTAGCAGACATCATTAAGGATTGAGATCTGACTTGGATTTCTTGTCTGCCGAAGAGAAGACTAGTCTCTGGTCCCCGTCTCCAGTCATATGAAAGCTAGTCAGACTTCAGACCCAGCGACAGAGCTGTCTCAGAGGCACGGTGTTGGACTGTGGCCATTTGTGCATGATCAACTAGATTTGGGCTGTGCTTAAGGAATGGGGAGAGCTATGCTTTATTCTCTCTCCAGTGCTCATCCCGATTCTGAAAAGGCAAATCATCTCTTTAAATATGAGTGGATCTTGTAAAAGAACTAAAGCAACTTATATTAAGTTAAAAGGCTAAATGGTCTTAAGTATTGCTCTTAAGTATTGCCTATGCTTTTAAAATCCTGCTCCACGCTGTCAATGATTATAATTATATATCATGACAAAAAAAACCTACAAAAAAACAGGGCATAAGACCATACAGATATGGGATATATAAAAGGGGAAGTATTTAACGGACTTATTGGAGCTGAAAGTACCAGGGATAATTGATTGCTTAGACACAACTCAGGGAAGTGGTCTAAAAATTATTAACCATAATTGCAATTTGTCTATTAACCATTTCATTTAACATCATGATATGTTTAGAAACAATTCTGCCATCCAGTAATGTACCACTGCTTGTGTCAAACAGCAGATTTGCATGCCCGAGTCTGTTTGGAAGAAGGTTTACCTGAGAAGCACATTACTTCTTCCATTTCACAAGACATTACCATGGTTATACAGTTAAGTACACCTCAGTGACTTCTACTGTTTTTGCAGAATACTCTTTAATCTGAGAGATAGCAAAGAAAGTTTTAAAGACAACTCCCCTTAGTTAGTTAGTAAAG